CTTGTCGGGCGGATTTCAGGGCCCGGCTGACAAACTACACACGGCGGCGGGGCGCTTTCGGGGCTGGCGGTCGTTCGTATGCACTCACTTTTCACTCCGATTTCAAAGTGTTTTACTCTCGGAAACTCGGATCTAGAGATCGAACTTGAATTTCCCTCGAGAGCTGTTGGTGTCCTCTGGTGAGGCTGACCTTGCCTTAGTCCCTTTGACGCCCTCCCCGTGACTTGGAAATGATTTGCGGAATACTCCCTGCGCAGAATCACAGAATCCCAGCATGGCAGGGGTTGGCAGGGCCCTCTGTGGGTCACCCAGCCCAACCCCCTGCCCAAGCAGGGTCACCCACAGCAGGGGGCACAGCACCGCGGCCAGGCGGGGCTGGAATATCTCCAGAGAAGGAGACTCCACAGCCTCCCTGGGCAGCCTGGGCCAGGGCTCCGTCACCCTCAGAGGGAAGAAGTTCTTCCTCGGGTTCAGCTGGAACTTCCTCTGCTTCAGTTTGTGCAGTTTATTTGACTACTTAAAAAGGATTTGCAAAGTATTTCCTGGACAGCTTGTTTGAGATTGTGGAATTTTTTTAACCTTGCCTTCTTTAGAGTGGAGCAGTTGACACCGACTTCTTTACTGTTGATCACCGGTGACTGGGCAGGTCCCTGTAGCTGAGGAGAGGGGTCTTTCCCCGTAAGCTGTTATTTTAGGAGCTGCCAGTGGTTGGTGCATGAGACTCAGCGAATCGCTGCCGGGCGACTTCAGCGTGCCGAGCGTGCTTGGCAATAAATGGCGTTTTGGCTTTCGTCTTATGCACCTAATTTGCATACGATACCTTATTCACAACTTTTTGCTTTCAGTAGCGAAATGCAGGAGATGCCAAACTCTGCGTGGAAGCACCTCACCGCTGAATCTGTGCTTGCTTTTTCAGCGCTGAAGATGTCGTCGTGAAAGTGCCGGGCAGCCAGCTAACGGCAGAGTATTTGGAAGAGCATGGCTTTGCAGAGCCCATCCTCGTCCCGAAGAAGGACGGCCTGGGTTTGTCCGTGCCCGCGCCCACCTTCTACGTCAGCGACGTTGAAAACTACGTTGGTGGGTATCTGGCAAGCCTGTGACATTGTACTGTTTGGAGTTCCACTGCTTTTAAAAAAATATATCTATTATTCATACTTTAAAATGTGACCTATATTGTAAATTATAGTCTGTGTCTTGAGCTGTGCTGACTTCAATATTTGTTGTGTAGTTATAGCTTGTAATTAGCAATTAATTCCCTCTTGCTTCTTATACCAGCTTGTGTATCTTATACTGAGCCTGAGCCAGGCTGTGTTGTACTCCATAGCACTGCATTAAAAGAAACAGTTATAGTAGTATCAAAAAATTGTTTCTTCTGGCCAGGTCCTAATTGATTACTGCCATCTCACTTTGTGTGGAAGGAATTGCTAGACTGAAACTTCCACTCTGCAAAGGCAGTGCATTTTTTTAACACTGCTGTCAGCGAGAGCTTTTTTCATTGCCGCTGGTTGTTTGCATTCGTTGTGGCATCTTCCTGTCTCCAAGCTGAGCAGGGTATCGTCCTGCATCTTCTCAAAAGTCATTATGTCATCCCACCTTGGAAGATATACCTTGGCCAGCAGCCATGGAAGCGCTCTGAAGTCACTTGTCTGGTCCCCACATCCTTCTTCCTTGAGCGTGTGTGACCTTGTCTCTTGTCCGGCCTTGCTCCGTCCCTCCTCTGTGTCGCTTGCTGTCTGATTCTCTATCCTTCCAGTCTTCTGGCAAGGTTTTGTCCTTTTGGAGCCATGACTCCAGCTCCGGTGTACCTGTCTGCAATTCACGGTCTGTTTGTCTCCTTACATAGTCTGCTAACCACCCCTCCTCCTGCACTCTCCTTACCAGGCCGTTGACCTGTTCCCCAGACTGGAGGCTGCTATCACCAGCCGCTCGTGTCCTAGGCTGTATCTGTTGCTTTTGCAGTGATTGTGTGCAGTGAGATAACTATGAATAAAGGAGAACTCAAGACCCCTGATTTTATTGTTCACTCTGTCCCGTTGCTTCTGCAGGAAACATATTTTCCTTGCCCATCTGCAACACTTAGCAGATTTTCTTGTATGACCTAGGTGCTCCTTATGCATCTGCTGGCTTTCTCTCAGCCTCTAGCTGAAATAATACGCCCTAGCAATGAAAACTCTTGTAGAAGAGCTGGAGGGAAGAACACAGGTTGTTTAATCTGCAGCTGGCACCAGATTTGAAAGCCAATGGAACAAATACGGGCTGGTCTAACCTCCGTGGGGTTAGTTCGCATGAACGGGATTTACCAGGCAGGGATTTATCTTGCCCTTTTGTAGTTTGTCACATTGGACCTAGAATGTCTTTTAGAAACAGTATCTAAAGTAAGTAGCAGAGGACAAAATGCGACAACCCAAACTGACAAATACATTGTTACTGTTCTGGCATTTCACGGAAAAACAAGTTGCTTTTTTTTTTTCCCTCTCCTAATGTGAAAAAGGTAATGAATGAAACACTGGGAGAGGAAAAATAAGGCCGATTAAAACTGCAGGGAAGAAAGGCTGGAGAGATGCTTTTGTTGCAGAAAGGATAAAAGAGTGTGCTTAGAAATGGGCACTCTATAAAGCTTTGACTTTCTCCATGTGTTCTCTGGTGTGCCCAGTGTTAAATTCCACTAACTGACTAACACTGTTAGTAGTACCACTGGAGATTTGTATCCCACAAGGGATAGAAGAAATGTGTAAGTACTAGCAGCTTGTCGTCCGTACTGCAGAACAGAGGAATGGATTTTGATAGGTGTCATTTTGGGTGAAACAACAAAAAGTCAATTTTTGTGGCACACCTAAAATATCATGTTAAAACATGGGAATTTTCCTGCAAAACTCCTCCCCAGTTATAGACATCATAAGCAAAATTTAAAAGTAGAGCATAACAGAACTTACAGTTTTGGAAAATCAGTTTGCCAAGGTAGCCTGTACAGTATTACACTGTCTACAGTCTCTAGACTTTTACAGCATGGTGGGTTGGGCTTACTCTGTGGGTATACTGGTATTTGCGTATAATTTTCACCACGCAGATAAAATCCATGAAGAAATAGATTCAAAATAACATTAATTCTTTAAAGATAAGAACTACAGAAATAATTATGTCTCACCGCAAAATTAATGCAAAAGCACCGTTTTATACATTTTATGTATATACACGTTTTCTTTACATATATATATATGTGTATACATGCATAAACAACAGGGAAGATGCAGAGGCTAAGAAGACCAGAAAATCAAAAGATTGAAATGTTAGCTCACCCCAAGTGTACAAAATGGGGCGAGTCAGGCTGCCCTTCAATCTCTCTTTTCCATTGAATTAATTTTTAGGACCAGAGAGGAGTGTTGATGTCACCGACGTCACCAAACAGAAAGACTGCAAGATGAAGCTCAAGGAATTTGTGGATTACTACTACAGTACGAACAGGAAGAGGGTGCTCAACGTGACCAACCTGGAGTTCTCGGACACGAGGTAGGAGCCCAGCCTGGCACACCGTGCAGGGCCCGGGACACGTGGCCGAGCTTATAACTGCATGCCCCAGGAGCCCTGTCCTGGTACTGAGTGATAACGTAGTATGTTCCTAGGATAATCTTAGGTACCTAGATACAGCTTGACAAATACTGGTAAGGCCAAAGAAAGGAGGACAGAGATGACCAGAGGTGTGATAAATCCGTATGTGGGTTGGTGGGAGAACATGGGTGTAAAGGGTTTTATTTTTCAGTATTACGTGTGATTTTTCTGGTGAGTTGGGACGTTCCTGATGGACATAAGGCAACGACAGCCCTTCCTCCAGCTTAAGGATCTTGAAACATGGTGTTCTCCTCAGAGCATTCTTTTTTAAAAGGCGTTGTACAGCAGTGAGCATCCTGCTTTTATAGCACTGGTTTGAGTGCATCGTGTATTGCTTACTGAAATCTTCAGTTTAAAGTAATGGAGAGTAAGTAACCGATGAGGTGTGGCTCTAGGTATGGTGTAACAAGTTGCCGAATGTCCTGCAATGAGAGTAAGTTTGCAGTTGTTACAATTTCGTAATCCTACACCAAGTGTCACAGTTTTAGTTTCAGTGCTGTTGCGAGTTAACGTGTAACCTGCGTGGCAGCGGTTGGGAGCTGGAGCGATGCTGCCTGCTCGACGGGAAGCTGGGGGACGTGGCGGTACGGGTGGGCTTGGAGGCTGAGCTGCATTTGTGGCGCAGTGAGCCAGAGGTGATGGTGCTGGCTGTGGAGTGTCACCGGTCCTCAGTGACAGCAGGCCCGCTGCTCTCCTCGTGCTGTAGACTGCATGTTTTCTGTCTAGGGTAATTAGCTGTGTTCGTCACCTGAGCTGTGCTTTTATTCCAGAAGCAGGCAGGTGCATCAGGAGTGTAGTGAGCTTCATGCAGCTGTGCAGATCATTTTTACAGTTCTTGCAGTCCTGCTGGGTAGCTGGTACTTCTGGAAGGGAAGCGTCAGAGAGGGAAAAGATTCCTTTATATACAAACGCTACACAGAAGGTGAGGAGTGTCAACAGAAAAATGAAGAGTGAGTGTTTTGGGGGGCATGCCATTTTAGCAAGAAGACGTAGAGTAGCCTTAAAACAGAAGGCTGAGGAAGAATGACAAACTCTTTTTTTTCAAAGCCATTACCTTTAGCCCCATAGTTAGTGTTTTAGTAGCGCACACCCATTTCTGCGGACAGCATCTCCAGTAATTACAGGCTTCAAAGATTACCAGCATCTTCAACTGAGATTTTTTTTAGCTTTCTGCCATTATCCCGGAATAATGGGAGGCCTTTTGTTCTGCAGGACTGCTGGAGCTGTCGCTCATATGCTGCTAATTTAGACATTAACTAGCAAATATTTTATTTCTTAACATAGGCAGTGACACTTTAATTGAACGCACTGCTCCATCTTTCTCTGCCATTTTAAATGGAGCTATTGTTATCAGTGTTTGACAGAGAGCAGAAATGACACATGGGAGCATTTAATTTCAGTGTGAAGTGCAGATACTCTTACTGACGTGATATTTGCAAGCGCCCAACAGTGAACCTCCGCCCCCTCCAAATATTAGTCCCAATTTTGGACTATTTAGATATAAAATTTAGCACATTCTGGGATGAAACACTTTTAATACGTGTTTATCATGCCACTACACCATCTTAGCTGTAATTTATAGTATATATTATATATTTACTATAAACATAATATGTGAATTATATAAATAAGTATATACAATATGAATATCTACGCATTGTATGAATGCGCAACTCATTTGTGTAAATTATATGAATATTACATGTGTTTTATTTTAAGTAAGTATATTCACATTAGCAAATTAGACTTTTTGCTTCTTCTGAGCTTTTAATGTAGTTTAGTCAGTCTAAATAAAAAGATCACTGTGATTTTCAGGATCAGATCAAGGCTTCTTTAGTCCTTAAGTACTAAGGTTATAGCTATTAGGATTTTTAATACTCAGCTTAACTTGCAAATTTTTAAGACTCGCCAGACCATTAGTGTGAGAGAGCACGCGTTTCACGTTCTCTTCTGAAGGGGGCTGGGAAAGTGGCTGCGATGACAGCGCTGTTGGTAACTGAGCCTACAGAGCAAGAGGCAGGGGCTGGAAAAATACAAACAGCATATGCTTGATCATAAATACTGCTGCTGAAAGAAGTCGAAGGATCGTTGCTAAGTCATATACTGAAAAAGCCTTTTATCTCTGTCTGTAAACAGTTTTCACAGTTTTTCTGAAGGAAGAGCAGTTCCACTGCCGCGTCAGGAGCTGCTTCAGATTGCCGTGCAAGTACTGGAGTCTCGCTCCGCTTTGTGTTGCGTCAGGGTCCTTGTGCTCTTTTTTGAAAAGGTGCATGTCTGTTTTCAATTCTCTCTTTAAAGGATGTCGAGTTTTGTAGAGCCTCCAGATATAGTCAAGAAGTTGTCCTGGGTGGAAAACTACTGGCCTGATGATGCTCTTCTGGCGAAACCAAAAGTCACCAAGTACTGCCTGATCTGCGTGAAGGACAGCTACACAGACTTCCACATAGATTCGGGAGGAGCTTCCGCATGGTACCACGTGCTGAAGGTGAGGGGTCCTGTTGCTGCGCTGTATCGAGTAACGAACTAAATTTCACATGCGAAGACTACCCTAACATTCTCTCAGAAATTCAGACCTCAGGTGTTTTTTCCCCCCGCGGTCCTGGTGTATCCGTGAGAAGCATGCAGAGCCTTAACTGCTGTGAGTGGACAGCAGCTGGGAGTGTGGAAGTCGTCTGTGTGTTTTCGCTGTGTTTGGATTTCAGTATTGCTGTAGTGCCTGCTGCACAGACGTCGCCTAAGACCTGAGAGATACTACGTCGCGCTTTTGTGGGATAATGGAATCTGGCACTGTAAAATTTTGCAACATCAGTCCCACATATCTGAGCAAATGTGGTCAGCTGGTGATTCAGTTATTTCAGCCGTTCTGTACAAAGCTATGAGTGAATTTTATTTCAGCAATGTGGACATATGTAGTGCTATATATTTCTGTAAAGAAGTATTTATGTGCGCGCGCATGTGTGCGTGAATCTATGCCAGTGCAACAGTGCTTGGTTTGGCTGCTTGTTGCTAATTTTGTGTTTTCTAATTCAGGGAGAAAAGATATTTTATCTCATCAAACCAGCCTCTGCAAATATTTCTCTTTATGAACGCTGGCAATCGGCAGCAAACCACAGCGAGATGTTTTTTGCAGACCAAGTAGATAAATGTTACAAGTGCACAGTTAAACAAGGACAGACACTCTTCATTCCATCAGGTGAGCTGGCTGTTGCAGGTGAGGTTTCCTGCTCATTTTTTACAGCTGCTGAAATAGCACGTCCAAAATGCTATAGATGCTCAGCAGAAGTGTAATTTCATGTGCTTACAAAAAAAATCAGAACTTTTACTACTTTCTATCAATAGTTCGGCACCCTTTTAAAAATGCAACTATCAAGTAGAGTGTTCCACTCTTGGTCTAGCTGGGTTGCAGTAACTCATGAGTTTCCTCTCTATATCCAACCATGACATAGGTGCTTTTTGCCATCTAACAGAGAATTCATGTTAAATTGCTTGCTGACCATGACTCCCCACAACATCCTTTTCATGGTCATTGATTCCCTGTGACACTAAGGAACTACAGGTGCCTGCGCGAGTGTGAGTGTGCATTTATGGTTTCATATGAGGCTGAAGACCTGGGTGTCACATATTTTTATGGGTTAATTGATAGACTTGGGCTTTCATTGCAGATTAGGGATGGTGGATTTTGTTTTTCTCAGTTCTGGGAGGATCCTCGTAAGGGTAGGGAGTTGATCAGCAAACAGTGCAGAGTTTTAAGGAGTTAATAATTGTTCATGGTGAGAGATAGGTGAGGGACAGGGCAGGAGTAGAACTGTCCCTCACCTGCCTCTCACCATGAACAATTAATTCCTCATTTGCCTTGCTGTTTCCAGCACTCCCTGTTACCTGTTGAAACTGTAATCTCTTCAGGCCAGGGATTTTCTCTCCCTCTGTGTGCCTTTAAGCAAGGCACTGCCCACTCAATCCATAATCTGAATTGAGGCTTCCAGGCGGAGTGGCAAGCAACAGCACTGGTGCTCGTGTTTTGGAGGCAGCATCCAGTAGTGCCCTTTTTCTGTGTGTGAGTGTATTCTTGCACAGAACGTTTACGCACTTGAATGTTACTTTGACTGGAAGAAGTGGAAAGTAGGCATTTCTCTCATGACCATATGTGGAGCAGATGGTGGAATAAACAGTGAACAATTTATAGAGATTCACTAATTCAAGTGCATTTTTGCATGAAAATAAGTGTTTGGAAAACACCTGTTCGTGGCACTACAATAAAGTCAGTGTCAAGAGCTGTCACAGATTTTTATGGTGATGTGAAAGCAGCTACTGTTATGTAGCTGTGGCTGCTTTTCGCACTAACAAGAAAGTAATGTCAGTGGGAGCAGTATGTCCCCTTTCAGTGTCTGCCACCACTGAAGGCAGTCCTGGGACTGGGAGCCAAAGGCGTGTGGCACCCTCCTGGGCTGGGCCTTTATCGTGCAAAACTAACACGGAGCCAGATGCGACTCTGTTCAAAGCGTATGTGGTTCTGGTTTTATCCTCGTGACTCTTCTCTTTTAGGTTGGATTTATGCAACTCTAACGCCTGTAGACTGCCTGGCCTTTGCAGGACATTTTCTACATAGTCTAAGTGTTGAAATGCAGATGAGGTAATGTGTCTTTAAACTCTAAAGTTAGGCAGAGGCTCAGTTTTTAATAAACTGGCCATCCTCTCTCCTGTGAATTAGTGTACGTTTGCAGTAACGTTGGTGTAGCTCTACTGGGCAATTGTGGAAAGCGTACCCACGTTTGTCCCCTTCGACCATGTTCTCCCATGCTGAGTTATTCCCAGCTGTCTTTACACTTGCTGCGTAGTGCAGGGAAGGATATGTGAGGTGCTTGGATTGATGTGGCCAAGTCCTGAAGGGAGAACTGTCAGGAGTTTTACCCTAGAACGTGCCATTCGCCTTCTGGATAAGCCCCCACCTGCTCAGCTGGGTTCTTTCCCCAGCATAAGACAACACAAGTAGTTCTTTACTGATGCTGGACAATGCAATAAAACTGTCTGACATCTGTATCACAGAGGTTCTTACTAGTGTTATTTTTACTTCTGATCTGCTGCCAGAATACGTGGTAGGGGCACAAAGAAATGAAGCACTGCAAAATGAACCTCAGGCATTTATGAGCAGTGCTTGTCACGGGGCGACGTACTTGTAAGCTGCTGCGCTTTGAGGTCATGTGGCTTTGTATTGCAGGGCATATGAAGTAGAACGACGATTGAAAATTGTCAGTCTGACCCAGTTTCCAAATTTCGAAACTGCATGTTGGTATATGGGAAAGCATCTGCTAGAGACATTCAAAGGTAAAACTGCGTTTCTTTGCCTGCCTTAATTGCTTAGCTTTGGGGGCCTGAAATTAGTTACTCTTAATTTCTGCTGATGTGTCACATAGAAGGTGGACAAGTGGCCAAAATCAGTCGTGTTAGTGTTTGAAAACTGCTTTTAACATGGCAACAGAGCATGCTGGTCTGGTCCAGCTCTCCCCTTAATATCCTGCCATCTTGCTCCAGGAAGGACCTTGACTGTCTCTCTTACCTATGCCTGAGGGAAGGTTTCATCTTCTTTATAAAATGTATTGAAGTTGCCTTAGAAGCAAAAAATGCAACTTTTTTTTTAGTTACTATTTGCCTGTCATGTGTGGATTCGTTCCCTGTTTTAACCTAATGAGCTACACACTCTGCCAGCCCAAGGCACACAGTAGCACACGCTTCTCCCATCACTGCTCATCCCAGCTGAAGTACGTGGGCAGGTCGCTTATACACGGGGCCACAGGAACATCAGAGATGTGGCCAGCAGAAGCACTGAGAATTAAAGCAAAGTTTTCTGTGAAATTCAAAATCTTCCCAGTAAAATTCCTTCAGAGTTGATCCAAATGTCCACGTGTGTATGTTCTTTACAGATTCAGTCTCACGAGGCTCTTTGCCTCTGTTTCTCGTATTACAGAATGTGTCTGGAGACACCCAGCAGATCCTTTTATAATGAGAAAAAAGTGTATGATTAATAAGCAAGGTGAGGGGTCCCTCTGAGGGTCGCCTGGAAGGGCCCCCTTGTGACCGACTGAGCAAAACTGGAATGAGGGGAAAAGTTTAGGCAGGCTTGTACTCGTGCAGAAGTGAAATGCTTTGCCCGGTGTCACCTTTGTTTCCACATATTGGTACTTGCTTTTTCCGTCAGAATTAAAGAACCGCTGACGGAACCTTTTTATTCCCACAGCCTAGGGTGCATGAACATGGAAGCTAGCTTGAGTATGGGACCAAGAAAGGAACAGGAAGGATTGCCAGTGTAGACATAACTTACAGGAGCACAGTGTAGGGATTGATCATTTATGATGCAGTAGATATATTCCTTATTACCATCAAGTTATAATAGGGATTCATTTGTGGTGACCAACTTTCTCACAGTTAAACTTTTTCAAATTAAAGATTTTGTGTAGGACAACTTCAACTAGCAGTGTTTGAATGGTGTTGTTTTTTTCCTCTACTTAGGTTTGCATAAAGCTGGGCAACAACCTCCTGCTCATTTACTCCAAGGAGCAAAAATTCTCAATGGTGCTTTCAGGTCATGGACTAAAAAACAGGTAGGAGAGGCAGCCTGTTTTAATATCGTGTGTTCCTCAGGTTTATCAGTTGCTGGAACAGAGAGCAAATGCTAGAACAAATAATGTCTCCATAGCAAAACAGCCAATTCTAAAATCCCAAGGAGAAGCGACTGGGAGAACGGGGAAGGAGGGCGATAGCTGGGATTTGGTAGTGCCTCTTGGGGAGTCAGCAGGCAAAAAGAT